GCTCTCATCGGGAAACCTGTCTCCGACATCGACCTTGTCGTCAAAGACTCATATTCCACCAACGAGTCGACCAAATCTTCGCGGCAGAGACCAGGACCCCGAGCTCGAATAGCTTCAGCGGCGGCGCTTCTTCTGGTGGTTCGTCCCACTCGAGCTCCCCACGAGGGTTCCCCTCCCAGCGGGCTTCATCTCCGCGCCTTGCAGTGGGCTTCCAACGGCCCTCAGGCCCAACCCATCCTCATTACTCCAGGCCGAGCCCTCCTGTCTCCAGCCCACGCCGGCCTGCTATCATCTGCTAATTTTGTGAGCACCCCAGACATTCTGTCCGCCAATGCTTTCGTTTGTTTCCCCAGGCCCGTCAAGACTTTCAGGCCCGTCAAACTCAGGCCCATCACACTACTGCTACTCGGGCTTCGTCCCCTAGCCCCTGGCTCCTTGACTCCGCTGCCTCTCATCATGTTACTTCCGACCTAGGCAATTTGTCTCATTATTAAGATTACTCTAGCCCGGATGAAATACTCGTTGGCGACGGGACAGGTTTGAAAATCACCCATATTGGGTCTACTACGCTGCACAATTCCACTTCTTCCTTTCAATTAAATGATGTTCTATATGCTCCTGCTATCAAGCGTAAACTTATCTCCGTTGCAAAGCTCTGTCGTACTAATCCCATTTCGGTGGAATTCTTTGCTGATTGTTTTGTTGTGAAGGATCTTCGCACGGGGGCGCCGTTACAGAAGGGGGCAAATAATGGGGACGTCTATGAGCTGCCCGGTGATGTGGACAACGTTCGTCTTGCCCTTGTGACCACTCGTACCTCTTCCACGTCCTGGCACGCCCTTCTTGGTCATCCATCTTCCTCTTCCCTCACCAGTTTGCTTCGCACTCATTCTCTGCCAGTATCATCCTCTACCGTCAGTAGTCATTGTCACTCTTGCCTTTCCAATAAAAGTCACAAACTTCCATTTGCTCATTCCTCGTTATCCAGCATTAGACCATTTGATTTATTGTATACGGATGTTTGGGGACCAGCTCCTGTCACCTCAATTGATGGTTTTAATTATTATTTAATCATCGTTGATCATTTCTCCCGTTATACTTGGTATTATCCCTTAAAACGCAAGTCTGATGTTCTTTCTGTGTTTCTTGCTTTTCAAAAGATGGTTGAGAACTATTTCTCCACCACCATTCGTCGTCTCTACTCTAATGGTGGTGGTGAGTTCCAAAATTTATGTTCCACGCTGGTTCATCATGGGATCAGTCATCTCCTCACCCCACCTCATACACCTGAGCATAATGGCTTGGCTGAACGTAAACATCGCCATCTTGTTGAAACGGGTATCACTCTCCTGCATCATGCTCGCTTGCCTACATCATTTTGGTCTTTTGCATTCTCTACTGCTATCTATCTCATTAATCGCCTCCCTTCGTCTGCCCTGCGAGGTCAAATTCCATACACTACACTCTTCAACCTTGCTCCTAATTACCATAAGCTTCGTGTGTTTGTTGCTTGTGTTATCCTTGGTTACGTCCTTACTCATCTCACAAACTTGACCCTCGATCCCGTCCATGCCTCTTTATTGGTTACTGCCCGGCCCACCCATCATCTGCATTCCATTACATGGGCCTCAGCCCAATTTGGCGCCTCAGCTCCCTTCAGCGCTCGCCCCCCCCCCCCCCCCCCCCCCCCCCCCCGGACGGATCCCTCGCTCAACGCATCAGCACTTGGGCCGCCCCATCCTCCTGGGCCTGTGCCTTCCTCTTCCGTCGTCCCAGGCCCACCGTCTTCTCCTGGGCCGACCCAGCAGCCTGGGCTTGAGATCTCCTCGCCCAGCCCCACCACCACACAGCCCGCTGCTCAACCTCCGCTACTTCGTACGCACCGGATAACGACCCGAGCCCAAGATGGTATTTACAAGCCCAAGAAGCTATTCTCCGCTGATTTCACTACTCGCTCCCCTCCGCTTCAACCCCGCTCTGTTCGAGAGGCCATGTAGTACTTAGAGTGGGATGCGGCCCTACGCAAAGAGCACACCACTCTTCTCCAGAATCACACGTGGGATCTCGTTCCGCGGCAGCCCCATTTTAATGTCCTTGGTAACGAATGGGTTTATCGCATCAAGCATCACTCTGATGGTTCACTCAATCTCTTCAAGTGTCGACTTGTTGCGAAAGGCTTCCATCAGCGTCCCGGCATCGATTTCCAGGACACCTACAGTCCTGTGGTCAAACCTGTCACTGTTCGCACAATTTTCACCATTGCTCTATCTCATCGCTAGCCAATTAAACAGTTCGATGTCAACAATGCTTTTCTCCAAGGGCCACTGGATGATGAGGTATATATGGACAAGCCTCCCGGCTTTGTTGATCCAGCTCATCCGTCTCCGTCGCGCCATTTATGGCCTCCGTCAGGCCCCGCGTGCCTGGTACACAGCACTCAGCTCTTTTCTCGTTGACTTTGGGTTCCGGAAATCTCAATCTGACGAGTCCCTTTTTGTTGATCCATCATTCGGGGGTTACTCTATATTTCCTAGTCTACGTCGATGATCTTTTGCTCACTGGCAATGATCCTGCTACTCTCTCTGCCTTTCAACTTGCGTTGGCTTTTAAGTTCTCCCTCAAGGAACTCGGTGATGTGAACTATTTTTTTGGGCATTGAGATCATTCCTACTACCACTGGCTATGTTTTATCTCACCATAGATATATGGTGGATATCTTGACCCGGTTTCATATGTTGGATGCCACTACTGTTTCCACTCCACTCGCCGCCTCTGCTACGCTCACCCTCTCTGATGGCACTCCTCCCACTAATGCCACTCGATATCGCCAAGTCCTGGGGGCGCTGCAGTATCTCATCTACACTCGTCCCGACATCGCCTATGCGGTAAACAAACTGTCTCAGTATATGCATGCTCCCACCTCTACTCATTGGCAGTATCTTAAGAGTCTACTATGTTATGTTTGTGGGACACTCTCCTACGGCCTGGCTATTCAGCGCACTTCACTCCCTCTCCGCCTCACTGCATTTGCTGATTCCGACTGGGCTGGCAACAACGATGATCGCACTTCTACTTCTGTGTATCTTGTCTACTTGGGTTCCACTCTCATTTCCTGGAAATCTCAGAAGCAACAGACAGTGGCTCGTTCAAGTACTGAAGCTGAATACAGAGCTATCGCACACGCTACGACAGAATTGGAATGGGTTCAGAACCTCTTAACCGAGCTTCACAACCCGTTGATCTCTTCCCCAACCCTCTACTCTGACAATCTAGGCGCTACTTGCTTCAGCTCCAACCCTCGTTTTCACTCACGCATGAAGCACCTAGCTCTTGACTATCACTTCCTCCGCCAACTTGTGCAAGCCGGCCGTCTCAACGTCCGCTATGTTCCCACTGCCCAGCAATTGGCAGACGCTCTCACCAAGCCCCTCCCTGCTCCGTGCTTCTTGCTGCTCCAATCCAAGATAGGAGTCGTTGATACCTCCTCCATCTTGCAGGGGCGTATTAGAGGAAAAGAATAACTATTCTTTTCCATTTATTTATTTACTCCCACGTCTTCACTCCTCAACTTCCCTGTACATTCTCCTTCAATTACTCAACAACCTCTCCTGTATTTCCTGTAACAATGTATAAATATTGCTGTAAACGTCAATACAAATCAAGTCATTGGTTCACAATAATCATTTTTCTACAACTAATTCTCCTCCTAATAGTTTGCACCTTTTGGACCAATTTTGTGCATTCGTGTGAACATATCATGCAATGCAATCAAGAAAGAAAGAAGTTGAACTAGTTAATGTGGACAGCCTGCCGAATCAATGGGAAGCAAGCGATTGGTACAGTCGAATCTACAAGAACTTCATTGTACAGTTTGCTGTATTCTACAATGGAAAAAAAAAAACGAAAAAAAAAAAGAGGACCAATTTTTGCTGGACGTGGTCCAGTTGCCACAGTGCATAATGAGCAGCAGACCATCCCATCAATTCATTTGAGCTGAACGCTACATCTCAGATTCATTCAATGGCAATCAAAATCCAGCATGGGTGGGTATTTGAGAGTCGGGCGTTCTCCGTCCTCTGTGGCAATTTTAGCCGAACGTGATGTTTTGAATGTCCAAGAAGTTAGGATCGGATCCTCAGCCAATATCTCCTCATGTCCAGCTGGATTGCCTTCTCAGCCTGAGAGTTCTCGATCGTCGACCTTATCACCGCCTGGTCCTTTCTGTAAGGTTGTGCATTGTGATGGTTCCTTTGCTTCTGATGCACAGGTGGCGGCTTATGGGATTACTATTGCAAACTCCCACGGTCAGGTTATCGATGGGAAGGCTGAGTGGTTCTTTTGTTCTTCCTCGCTACAAGCGGAAGCGTTTGCGATTCTTAATGCAGTTATCTGGGCGGCCCAGGACCCTGTACCAACGTGTGTCCGCTCTCATTGTCAGAGGTTGACGAATGCGTTGAGACAAGATCCGAGCCTGTGACCCTGGCAGTGTCGGGCATCCCTTGCTCGTGTGGTTTCCATTCTCTGTGTTTCTCCTTGGATCACGGTTGAGTTTGTTCCTCGTCGATTTAATAAGTTGGCTGATTGGATCGCTAGGAACTCTCGCCTTGATCTCCTTCCTCCGAAATGGATTTTCATTGCCAACCTTGTCGCTCCATTATTGTAATCGTTGTGCTCCCCTTGGTTGGGTTTGGAATGAAATGACTGATGCCTGTTGTAAAAAAAATCAAAATCCAGCATGCTCTACCTTTAAGCATACCGCAAACTGCACAGCAATGGGCGCATGCCCTAAATACATTCATCATTACACCCACCCCATGGGATCGAACGGAGTACCAGAAAGAAAGGCAAACGTTCTTTATGTTACAACTTACAAAGTAAACCTAGCTAGAAAGTAACTATATGTTAATATATGAACACCACGCTTTGGGTTGATTCCAAAATCCAGAGACGACCCATATTATTCATTAATATAATCATCAGTTTATTTGTTATTGCTCTGACTATGACCGCTCTAGCGGCTGAGTAGACGATCTCCAGTCGAGCTGGCTCTCGTCCAGATCATCCTCGTCTTTCCTGTGCACGTCCTTGGGCGCGATGAAGCAGTCCAACGACAACCCGGCCACGTCAAACGCCACGTCGTCGATGGACCACTCCTCCTCCATCCTAGTCATCACGGGCACCCCTGCTTTGGACTTGAGCAGGCTGTCCCCGAACCTGGTGATGACGGCGCTGGAGCGTCCGCCGTGAGCGATCATGACGCCGCCGGAGCCTTCGACGGGGCGGTAGTCGTGGATCCTGGTGGACATGGTGGTCTCCCAGTACGTGGGGTGGGTCCCAGGGGACTGGATCCTCGTCAGGAAAGAGTCCTCCAGGTAGACCAGGAGCCCGCTCCTCTGGCTGAACAACCCGAACGTCACGTGCTTGATCATCTCCGCCGTGCTGTCGCTCCGCTCGGTGAGCTCGCCTTGGTCGGCGGCCAGCTTCAGGACGAAACAGTCCTCCCCTTGGATGCACTTCTCGCCCATGTATTGCGCGGACGAGAACACCGCCGCTATGGCCACCGGATCCAGCCCCTGAAGTATACGCACCAACAAACTATTACCAAGCAAGCTCCTCCAATTTTTCTATTAAACAAAGGCGCAAAAGACGCATGATTTTTGTACTAAATCGATAAATTTGGACGCAAGCATTTCAGGTTCAGCAGCATCATAGCCCAGATTAAAATCCGAAAAAATGAATGAAAATCTACATATATAATTTTCCCCGACAGAAGTTTTAGTTGTGGACTAATGTAGAAAGGCACAAGGGGAAGTTGGGGAGCAAAGATCCGTCATTCTTGGGGAATAGTGGTTGGATCTGGTTTCAGTGGCCAATAACAATACTTTAAAACTTGGGGTCACCACTAAATCAAGAGGCCTACAATCTCCAATTACCCAACCCAGATACGTATCCGATTTGAAATTACTATACTTAGCTTAATCATGTTACACTATTAGAAAACATCTCTAACCACCCCTTGACTTTTGACATCGACTTTCAACTTAAGTCCAAGTAAGTCCAACTCCCAAACCTAATATGCTAACACCGTTTAATCACCTGGTCCAGTTTTACTCTTTAAATCAACTACATCGGCATGGTTTATACAACTATCACCATACTAATCCAACGACTGAAAACCTACAAAGATCATGCCTGATAACCAAATTGACCAAAACCTAATATGAAGGTCATGTGTCACAGTCCTACATACTACATACCTAGATAAATCCCATTTAAGTAAACAATTCGGTTCACCCTCTAACAAGCTATAGACTCCCTCCACAGACCCATGATATAGCCCTCATTCAATGCCACCAATAAATAATTGCTGCCGCTACCAAGAACTTTCCACCACATTTAAGGCCACAATGAACGATGGTCGCCAAGCTATAAATCGAACGTGACAAAAAAAGAATCGTCGGCAAGAACACATTACTGTGTCCTTGAAAACGACACTTCGTCTAAATTTGCAGTGTGGTAAAGACTTGCCTGAAGGGCCCGACGGAGAGGCCGGACGCCGCCTTTGGCCGTGTGAGCGCCGAGCCACGGCGTGTGTCGCCAGGCCACATTGCCGTCGCTGCCAGCCACAACCTTGTGCCCACCCACCACCAGCTCCACCAGCCACTTGTCCGGCACCATCTGCCACATCACGAAGCATCCCTTCTCCGCCACGTTAGTTCCCGTCCCAATCGAGCGGCCGCCGCCAGCCAGCTGATCGGTATCATCTACATGATCTACCATCCCCATCGTCACTTTCCCGGTCGCGAACACGTTTTTCACCCTGCCTTCCAGTTTCCGGCACCCAGTCGCCGCCGTGAAGTGCTGGATTATGTACTGAGCCGATGAGGATACCTGACGGGGGGAAAAAAAACTAAGTTAAGTCAGCCTAGTGGGTTTGGTTCCATGATCCAATCAACATACCTTTATTGTTTTTCTTTTCTATAAAGTTAGGTGCCAAATCTAAATCGAGGGGGAAACGAAAGAAACGGTTAAATTTACTGCGGGGGAATATGGATCACGTCAGAGACAGGGAGAGTGGCGTGATCGTATATTCCAGCAGGAAGGAAGGGTAATCTTTAACCGAAAGCAAGTTGGTTTAAAAGAAATCTGGGTACCAACTCTGGAAAGCTCATTTTGTTGGAAAGCCTTTAGCTTTAAGTACACCCATTTCCCTACTGTCATTCAGGCCCACAATACCATACCACCAGACAACTGATCTTAAACAGAGTATTTGCCATGAAGCTCAAAGCAACCCACAAGCAGAAACTACAGGGATTGGTGATGAAACAGAGCTCTAAGAAAACAGAGGACTCTGGCTGTCCGTAAAAATGAAAAGGAATTGCAGACAGAGTAACTCAGTAGCTAGAGATGGTAAACAAACTTTTTAGCACAGCTACCGCGAGAGCATAAATAATTATATATTCGACGGACCCCACGCGGTCATGGCTAATTAATGGTGGCTCTCTTGAAAAAAAAAGGTAATGGGGACCCTTTTCTCCCTGGATGGATTGATTCCCTTTTCACATTGGTGGGGCTTAAGCTAATATCTAGCTACGTAGCCATTGCAGTTCCAGTCAGGCGTCTTTCTTTCCCCAAGTTAGTGGTCTGCAACGCACTCAATTGGTACAGTTGAAAATTGTCGCCCACGAAATTATTCCCCCCACCACTCTTCACAATTCTCAGAAACCAATGACGTTTGCATCGGTTACTCCACTGCACTGCACACCCCAATGGCGGAAAAAGGAAGAAGGAAAAAAGCATGCCATATCCCAATTCTGCCCCTACCTCATTACAACCCTCCCCAGCAAGCAGAGATCAAAGATGGATTACAGAGTAAATGCTTGAATGTGGTGATGGAATCCAAAAAAACAGAACCAGTAGCGATGAAAGAAGACGCAGAGTGGAAGTTTGTGCTCATTACCTGGTCGTTGGGGTTAGGGCGGATTGGGACGGGGAAGAGGGGGCAGCCGAGGACGCTGAGGAGGGTTTTGAGGTCGGAGGACTTTTTCTGGAAGAGGAGCAGAGAGAAGTGAGCTTTGAACCAGTATTTCCACGATGATTGCCCCCCACCGCCGCCGTCCCTCTTCGAGAGCGATCTATGGTGGCTTCTCCTCCCACCTCTGCTGATTTCTTCGTCGCTGGTTACGGGCTCTTCCGATACTGGCGCCAGGCGGTTCATGGTTGGTTTTGTCCTCCTCTGATCTCCCGGTAAATGTGAACCCGTTTTATTTTTATGGTTTTGTTTTCTTCTCGTTGTTTCGTCTTTTTTGGGATTTGTTGGGGTTCGGTCGTTTGGAACGGAGGAAAGAAAAGGAGATGGAGGAAGGGGAGAGAGAGTTTCGGTTGAGAGGGGAAAAGAAAAAACAGAGGAATGAGAGAGACTGTTGTGCAGTTATAATGGGAAGCAGCAGAAAGCAGAGCAGGGGTGGTGGCCTGTGGGCGAGCACGAAAAGCGAGCCAAGGAAAGCAAAGTGAAACTTAACGGCCGTTATTTTTCAGTTTTTTTTTTTTCATTAGAAACGTGGCTCTAAGTTGGTACCGGTATTTGGGATATATCGAATATCGCACCGAATTTTTATATATTTGGTATTACCGAATATAAATTATTTCTTGAGATTGGGATTGAGATTGAATTTCAATTGTAATTCGGTATTAATGATGTCAGAACAGAAGCGTGCAATCGATAATCCAAACCAACACAAATTTAACGTGGTTCACTAACACAATGTGTGCTAGCTAATCCACGGGCAGAGGGGACAAATTTCACTGATTTGAGGAGAGTATAGGTTACAAACCAAATTTCAAACGGACAAACCAAACAAACTAACCTGACTGACCCTTACTACAGACTAGGGTGATGAAGAGTATTTATAGAACTCTTTTCCTAATCTCAAACAGAAAACCAAACACATTTTCCCAAACATACAAGGAAAATGTCAAACAAAAGCCCAAACACAAACCCAAACAAAATAGGCCCAAACACAAAACAAACCCAAATCAAATTCAAGTCATATCCTAACAATCTCCACCTTGACTTGAATTCTCTGTCAAATACCAGATCTACCAAACGCAACCAAAGTTGCCAAATGTACCCAGACGCGATACATATAGCCAGATATCCAGATGTGATCGAAATCACCAAACCCAAACGCGATGCAAAATCGCCAAACACAAACGCGATGCAAATCGCCAAACTCAGATGCAATCAAAATTGTCAGACGTACAAAACTTCTCCAAATCAGCTGTACCAGAATCTCCCCTGCCTCCAAATGCCCCTAAGGGCGGTCAACAAATCAAAACATGAAGCAAGTCAACCCATGTTGGGACTTGCCATGCAGAACCAGCTTGGTGTTATTTCCGTCCATAACACCAACATCAAATTTACTGCTAACTCCAAGGCTGCAACTCCAAATTGACTTCTCGATCTTCAAATTCAGATAGCAGCCATTCTTACTATCAAACAAACTCCAACCAAACTCCACAAAGCAAAACTTCAGTCTAGCGCCAAATTCCCAAAACCGCAACCAACGGCTCTGATACCACTTGTCAGAACAGAAGCGTGCAATCGATAATCCAAACCAACACAATGTGTGCTAGCTAATCCACGGGCAGAGGGGACAAATTTCACTGATTTGAGGAGAGTACAGGTTACAAACCAAATTTCAAACGGACAAACCAAACAAACTAACCTGACTGACCCTTACTACAGACTAGGGTGATGAAGAGTATTTATAGAACTCTTCTCCTAATCTCAAACAGAAAACCAAACACATTTTCCCAAACATACAAGGAAAATGTCAAACAAAGCCCAAACACAAACCCAAACAAAATAGGCCCAAACACAAAACAAACCCAAATCAAATTCAAGTCATATCCTAACAAGGGATTATGGGATTGAGATTGAGATTGAGATCGGTATATATCGAAATACCGATCAATACCGAAATATAAGCTAGTGTGTATTTTATCCTCTCAACTAGACTCTCTCATTCACTACTACACAACCCTCAACCACCAAGAGTGTCATTTAATTATACATAGATCATTTCATCTTTTTTTACAACTCAAAAGTCCACATCCAACTCAATTTTGACTTTCCAATTTAAGTCACTCTCATCTCTCTCATATCAAATTTCGTGGCATGAGAGTGATTCTAAGAAGGTCTTTTTTGTCATTGCACCCAGTTCATGTTTATATATTAAAAATGTTATCATTAGAGTTCGAACCTGGGTCAATTAAATGAAGAAAGAGCATTATAACGAGGGCTGGAAGTTTGGTAACGGTATTTGGGATATACCGAATACCGTACCGCACTTATCACTATTTGGTATTACCGAATACCGATTTATTTTTTAGGGATCGAGATTGGGATTCATTTTGGAGTGTTATTCAGTATTCGGGATTACGGGATTGGGATCGATATATACCGAAATACATGAAACAACCAAAAAATAAAAATTAATGAAATATAGCACACAACTTTTGATCATTCCCCACTCTTTCATAACTCACAAGTCCCCATCCAACTCAATTTTGGCTTTCCAGTTTAAGTCACTCTCATCTCTCATCTAATCTCTTGTTATTTTGATAGCATCAAAAAGAAAACCCTAGTATTAGTCGTCTCTCAACCTCCAATTCGTTGAATTAAAGATTGCCAATGACAAGAACTTGGTTGTCACCTCTCCTCCCTTCTCCCTATCCATGTCCTAACTCTAGGAAAACTCAAGACTCTTTGCTTAGTTTTTTTGTCATAAATTAAACAATCAAATCGAATTTATATATTTAATTTTTAATTGCAAAGATAATTAATTTTGTATTTGTTTGAGCCTAACTGAGTGTAGGAGTGAGACTCGGGAAAGTGGGGAGAGAAGAGCAAGCAAGGTGAATCTCCAATCTATTAATGGTTGGAAGTTTAAGAGAGTAGGGATGAGAGAACGAGATTTCTAGTGAGATAAGTGGTTGTATATTAGTGAGAGAATCCAAAAACCGACCCCCTACCTACCGTAGTAAATGCCTCTTTTATAGTACATTACAATGAGTGGATATTTAATGCGACAAGATCATTACGTGTGTCAGAAGGCTAGGCCATGCTTTAGGTCATAATTATTCCTAGGACCAGGACTAGGATGTGACCCTTCCTTCGTAGGTTGCGGCACCGTTTTCTCGGCTCTCTTTCCCAGTTCGGATTAACCGAAACGACGACGGCTTCGGCAGGACCAAAACGACGCTGGTTTTGATGAAGCGAAACGACGCTGGTTTTGGTGAAGCGAAACGACACCGGCTTGGTCTAGACGAAAAGGCGCCGCCTGGTGCTTCATTCATTCGCGGTCGTGTCTTTACTCGCGGGTGGTTCGCTCGGCCATCTTACTCGCGCAACTGGATCCGAGCTATATCCCAAACAATTGCCCCCATCAGGCGGTGACGGAGCGGGTTCGGGCAGAGTTGCGCGCGAGTTCGAGGAGGAGAAGAAGCGGTTGGCCGATGAGCGGGCGCAAGAAAAAGCGCACACGAGGAGAAGATGAAGCAGGCCCGCGATGAGTTTCAGCGGGAGAAGGCGGAAGCCTCCCCGAGGCGCAGGTTGTTGCTGTCCGTCAATACAAGTCTTTCTCCTCCTTCGGGAAGATCTTGCGGACGCAATGACCAAGGCCGTGATCGCGGTCGGCAAGAAGGTGCGACCAGAGAACCCGGGGTCCGGTGGAGGACTCGCGAAGTGGTTCAGCACGTGCAGATGTGGCTGCGTGAGAAGAGGTCCTTGGAATTCGACTCCGAGTCAGAGGATGAGTCAGAGGAAGAGGAGGATGACGCGCACACTGAGGACGCGGTCGAGGATGGGGGATCTGGAGCGGTTAAGGGTGGGGAGCCTGTCACGGTGGCGGACGAAGGGACTGGAGCCACTTCCGCGGACAACATCATGCTGGATTAATTGTAATCTTTTTGTTTTGACGCGCGATAAGTGTTTTGCTCCCTTTAATGGAATCCAAAAGTTCTCGTCTTTCTCTGCGCTTTGCGTGGTTTATTTCTCGAGGTGCACGGCGCAAATAACTCGTGATTACTGCTATATATATGGAACTTTATGCGTGATTGATGATCAGCATTCTACGTTCTTTTGCGCGGGGCGTGTGCGCGAATAATTCATGATTATTGCTATTTTGTGAACTTTATGCGCGATTCATGATCAGCGTTTCATGTTCGATTGTGCAGGCGCGAATAATTCATGATTATTGCTATTTTGTGAACTTTATGCGCGATTCATGATCAGCGTTTCATGTTCGATTGTGAGGGCGCGAATAATTCATGATTATTGCTACTCATGTTCTATCGAACTTTGTATTTATTCATCCACCTAAATGTGCCACCATGAACAAAATACACATTAAGCGGGACTGTAGTACTTCCTGAGATTCTGCGTGTTCCACGTTCTTAGAATTTTAGTGCCCCCCAATTCGTTGAGCTTGAAAGTGTTGGCGCCGACCACCTCGCGGATTAGGTATGGACCCTCCCATGTTGAAGCGAGTTTTCCGTGTTTGAGGTCGGGGCGGAAGTTTCGTCGTAGTACCTGGTCTCCGAGGTTGAGCTTGTGCGGAACCAGCTTCGCGTTGTAGTACTTAGCTACCTGTTCCTTCGTCACAGCAAGCTTGATCGACACTAATTCTCGTCTTTCCTGTGCCAATTAAAAGTCTAGCAGGCGCGCCTCTTCATTGGTCTCCTCGTTGTACATTGTGATCCGATAGGTCGGGGTTGTTGTCTCGATGGGGATCACCGCGTCAGTGTCGTACGTGAGCGCGAAAGGAGTTTCTCCTGTCGCCACTTTGTACGTGGTGTGGTGTGCCCATAACACCATGTTGAGTTCGTCAGCCCAATTGCCCTTGGCCTCATCCAGGCGAGTGTGTAACCCGTGCAGGATTGCTTTGTTGGCCGATTCCTCTTGACCATTGACTTGGGGATAAGCTACTGACGCAAACCTTGCAATGGTCCCCACTTCGTCGCAAAAGTCTATCACCTCCGCGCAATCGAACTGTTTCCCGTGGTCGAAGATGAGCGCATTCGGGACCCCGAAGCGCGCCAAGATGTTATTTTTCAGGAAGCGCGCTACCTGGTGCGCCGTTATCGAGGCTAATGCTTCTGCTTCGATCCACTTGGTGAAGTAGTCCACTGCCTTGATTATGTATTTGCGCTTCC